AAATTTTTATTCTCATTTATTTCTAAACCCACATACTTTCAAAAAGTAGTATGCTTAAAGTTATGATTTTATCAGAAAGACAGAATCTTGTATGACTTACAATTTTTTTTTATTTTACATTTGTACATCCACATATGTTACAAAAACTACATGCGAGAGAAAAAAAAAAGTGGATCGATTGGAACTAGTTTTAGTATGAATTTGTTTTGGATTTAGATCATCGTATCATTTCTAACTTTAAACCAATCCAAATTAGAAAATCGTATCCGACAGCGTAATCAAACCCTCCCTAGTTGCCACCATCATAATTATCATTAATTTATCAATTTATGCTTTCTAACCTTTACTTTTCCTAAAAAGTGAATGAAAACATCATGAAGTAAGCTCACTGACGGTGACCACACCTCAATAGCGGTATATAATAAGAAAAATGCTAAGTGAATTATTTTCGCTTGTATTTATTTGGTGTTCTCACTCACAAAAAGAGAGTGTGATTATAAGAACTCATCACCCGAAAATTGTAATGACGAGTCATCATGGTCCTACTTTTTTGTGAGTAGGAGTAACAAATAAGTACAATGAGAATAGTACACTTATCACTACCCTAAAAATAAAGCCAGCACTCTGTCCTCGATGAATTATTAAATAAGTGTTATCCGTTAAATTATTGAATATTGGGATCTATTTATGGATACAAAGTTTAGCATACATATCAAATATTACGGACCGCTCCTGCTAGATATTTTCCGGGAACTTGGTCAATATTTTCTTTCAAAACAAAATAAAATTTGGCAAAAATACCATATATCAGGTTGTTTTGGGAGGGGGTGGGTCCGAGAATAAGCCAGGTTAAATCTTCGGGTATGGAAATAAAAAGCCATCACTCGAACCTGAAGCGCCCAATTAATGTACCTATCCTCTTCGCACCTCCAACGGTGGGCCCCACTAAAATCAACTTAATTAATTAGCGACGTAGTTTATTAACCACTAGGTTAATTAGAGGTTAATTAATTGCCCTCCCCCTAAGCACTACCCGCTCCCTTCTGCCCGAATTCTACGGGCAGCGGATTCGACCCGCTAATTCAAGAGCTACCCGAGCAGACCGCTGCCCGCTCTCACCCTAAACCTCTCATCTTCCCTTTTTCGGCCTTAAAAAAATTTCGAAAAATATCCTCCTTCCTCTACTTTCTCTATATATTCTCACCTCGCTTCTCAGCCGTTGGATTGAACGGAGATCAGGATTTAACGGTCTAGATTTCGTTAGGGCTTTCCTGCTGGTTTTTGCTCGGTTTTGTTTGAGAAAACTCCAGATCTGCTGGTTTTGAGCTTAGATCTGCCATCAAGGTACTACCTTTGCTCGTAACTAGTGGTTTTTGAGTTGATTATGGGTTTTATTGGGAGAAATTGGGGTTTTAGGGTTTGTTTCTTTCGTTTTTGGTGCTGGTTGAGTGAGCTTGAGCGAGTGTTTGTTCTATTTTTGGATTTTGAGTGCAGTTTCTGTTTGTTTTTTGTTTTTGACGAGATTTAGAGGTTTTTGCTCTGGGTTTTTTTCCCTTTAATTACGTTGGAACTCGATCAAATTATAACTGTTTCATGATGTTTTAGTATTTTCAGTAAAAAAGAAGTTTGGTGGTTGTTCTCTTTTCTTTCACTAATTTTTTCAAATTCGATGATGCTTTCAGACAAATTCGTGTTATTTTCTTAGCAAGATTTGCACTCTGTTTTTTATTTTGTGGAATTATGTAATATTCTCCTTCAACTTTTGTCCAAAAAATTACAGAATTTCACACGACAGACCTCGAATTTCTGGTTAAATTAGAAAAGCCGAGTTTTCTTCATCGCAATTTTGCTATTTTTGTAATTATTATTCTTCTCCTTCAAAATTTCAACAAAGTCCCTTTCCTTATTGTTTCTTTTTTTTTTTATCTTTTTCAGGAAAGCACTCCTTTTTTTTTTAGATCTTTGAGTTCGTTATCTAACGGTTTCCTTTACATCTCGCAGTCTGTGCACATGGAGACGGTGGTTCTGCCATCGGCCGTTAACTTGGGCCTGCTAACCTGCGCCGCAGCCGAGGCCCCCTGGCCTCCGGTATCCTCACCGCCCTCGCCACCGCTCACCTCCCAACAGCGGTAACCTTACCTCCTTATCTCTTTGCTATTCTCACCTTCCCACGTCCTCGGAGTGAAAAGTTATCGGCTGCTAACGTGCGCTGGTGCCGGATCCTAAAAAGAGGGGTGCATTATGGTTTTGGGTTTTGATTTCAGTTCCGGAAGCGGGGCCCACTTGAGGATTAAAAGCATCCTCTTGGTTTTTAATAGTTTTGTTTTATTGCGGTGGTGGTTGTGATATTTTTTTTTTCCGGAATATTCGAGTTTAGGTGGCGAATATTCGTTTGCATTTGGTTTCTTTATTCCTACTCCCCTTTTTCAAATGTTACGCTTCATTGACTCTGATTGCGTAGGGGCCGATAGTCAAGGTGTAGGTTGTATGAAACCGGGTTGGGAATATAATAGTAAAAAAATTACTTTGTAATTAATGATGCCACACGTGTGCACGTGAGCGTGACTTTTGATCGAGCTCTAGAAGTCGCTGGCTCCGGGTGACGTGGCACGTGTCAGTTCAGTTTTTTTTTTTCAGGCGGAACAGATAAGCTCCTTGATAAAAATTTCGCTTGTCCTTATCTCATTTTAGGCTAAATATCAGAAAACCCCCTTGACTTTGGACGGTTATCAGATGACCCCCTTAACTTTCGAAATATCAGAAGGCCTCTTAAGTTCGGTGTTTATCAAAAGAGCCCTTCAAGATTAAGGTTTTATATAAACCCCTCTAACAGCGTTAACAACAATTTCGGACATCGGTGGGTAAAAATTATGCATGAGAATAGTTTTTCCAAGTGAAAATAGGCGGTTCACACGTGGGGTTCTGACAAAATATTAAACTTAAAAAGACTTTTGGTTCCAGGGAGTTGTACTATTTAGAAAGTTGAAAATGAAACAATACTTTGCAAACTTTTTGATATTTGGTTCCCTTGAACTTGCGCTCTAAGTAATGTGACTCTGTCAGCATATTGGTTAGCTTCAACTGGTTTTGAAATATTTACGCAAGATAAAATGATTTGAACTGAATTGGTTGAACTTGACTTTAACCACATAAACCAAGAAATATTGGTTACCTTCGACTGATATTGAAATATTGCGTTTGATAGGTTGGACTTGACTTTAACCACATAAACCATGAAATATCGGTTAGCTTCAACTGATATTGAAATATTGCGTTGCATAGGTTCAACTTGACTTCAACCACATAAATGAAGAAATATTGGTTAGCTTCGACTGATATTTTAATATTTATAAAGAAACCAAGAAAATATTGATTAGCGACTCCCTCTTGTTAGCTATATGTAGAATGAAGTCGTAATCATGCACGCTAGAGTAAAACTTGTTTGATTGTTCAACAGATGATTATTTGGTTTTGTTTTGTTAGTGTCCTGATGCGGGTAGGCAATGATCAAAGCATATAATAGTCTGAGTTGAATTGATATTTATGGGCACTAGAGTAAAATTTTGTTTGATTATCCATATAGTTTTTTTAAGTTTTGTTATTATCACGATGCAAGTATGCACGTAGGGGAGTAATCAAAGCATAGCTTAGTCCCGTTGGATTTTTTTAAGCACATCAGCTAGATGCTTCGCAATTCCTTAAAAGTGATGTAGAAGGGTTCTTAGTTTCTCGTTGATGTTTTTCTTTGTGTATATGTGAGGCTCCTCACCTCTTGTAAGGAAGAATGTCCTTCTCTCATTAACTTCATAAGCCCTGAACCTATGCCCCTTTTATTATATCCAACCCCTGAAAAAGTAGTTGGTATTTTTACATGGATTTTGGATGAAGTTTTTTGCAGCAGAATACAAGTTTGGGTTAAAGGGGGTAAAAGAAGAAGGTCGTGAGTATATTTCTTCTCTTCTTCACAGTGAAGGAGCCAAAAGAAAAAAATAAATTATGATCTAAACTCTTTGCTAACAAAAGGAAGAACATGGATTATGATCTTGACCATCTCAGTTTCGTGTTGTTTCAGGATCCATTTGGGTTTCCGACATCGATCAAACCTGAACATGAAAAGGTTCAACAGAGCAAAAACAATTCCCAGCCAGTGGATGCTGATGATGATGAAGATGGGGATGAAGAGGGGGGTGATGATGGAGACTATGGGGAGGGTGAAGAGGATGCATCAGAGGAAGAAGGAGAAGGATACGAAAAGCCTAACAATACCAATGGCAAAAAGGCGCCAGGTGGGGATGCTGGTGGAGAAGAAAACGGAGAGGACGAGGAAGAGCCTGAAGACCAAGAGGATGGCGATGACGATGACGACGACGACGATGACGATGATGATGATGGAGGTGATGATGAGGAAGAAGTGGTAGAGGAGGAAGAGGATCAGGAAAATGATGAGGAAGAAGAAGACGAGGATGATGATGAGGAAGAGGCGCTCCCTCCACCAAAGAAGAGGAAGAAGTGAAGCCGTTGCAATCCCCCTTTCATGCTCTTTTCCAGACTTTCGAGCTTGCCGTCGTCTTTTATCTAGAGTACCCTTGGGATTGATGACGGTTTTATGTAGGAGTGTTGTTATTTTCCATGTACTAGAGAGAGAGAGAGAGAGAGGTTATCAAACTCTGGAGACAATGGCATTGAGCCAGAGTGATCATTGTCTTGATTCAGGGAAACAATGTTAAATTTATACAGAGTTTGGTGATAATTTGGCGTTGGTTTTTTTTATAGGGTGTTTAGTTTTTTCTTTAGAACCTGTAACGAAAGGTTGTTGTCTGGTGGATCTGATGGATGTGGTCAATGCAGGCACGCCGCCGCCGCCATTCGAATATTTAGCTTGAGAAATTATGGCAAGTATTTTGCTGAATTATTAAATTGAGCAAACCAAGCATCTTTCCGTTCTCGAAAATGCGACTGATCAGCTAACTTGTCCTGATCAAGACTATCAAAAGAGATTGATTCTTGTTATAATACAAAAGATTTGTGATAACTTTCAGGATATGTGAAGCTGGGGGTGGTGCCGCGATGCTCCAACCCTGAACCGTACTTCGAACATACAGATTTTATGTATCTAAATTATGAGTAACGAGCTAAGGATCGATGGTTATGTTTATACATATCGTCATCGTAAGAGGGAACCACTGATCGACGACTAGCCCTTGCACTCGTGGTAACAATTTGATTATTTCCTCGCATCTGCGCTGACATGCTATAGTTTCACCTACAGCTTTGCTGCAGCGCGCTTGTGGTAGCAATTTGATTCTTTCCTCGCATCTGCGCTGACACGCTACAGTTTCACCTACAGCTCTGCTGCAGCGCGACACGCACGAATCCATCGTAGACTTGCACTGTTCGCAACACGTAAGTGCAACTGGCTGAAACCGTCCATCGCTACCGAATGATTTTTCAGCATTAGAGATAACGAACAAGAGCATGGATAGCAGCAGTGTAGCCGCGGAGAGTTTTCTCTCTTTTGATAGAAGGAGGGGAAGATGCGAGACCATCGTTGGTTTGGTTTCAATCCAGATTAAATGAAATGTTATCAGGATTTTATAAAGAGGAACGCACGAAAGCTATTTCAGGTACTTTTTGCATGACTCTTCAAATTTTTTGGCAACTTGAAGTCTGGAAATGCTTTAAGCCTGAACTTTCATTTTATTTCTTTATTTAGGTAACTCATAAGTTTATTTTTGAACCGGCGCGACTTTAAACTGGTTATTGACAGAATCCGTTGAAGAGAAATCATATTCTATGCTCTGAATCATGAAATACCATCTGCAGAGACTGATTCTGTACATATCGATGAATCCATTCGTGATTCCAGAAATCATCCAAAGTCCATAATATCTAAAGAACCTACAACCAATACACGGATTTCCTTCGATATCAATTTTTTTTTGGATCAGAGTGATCGGTGACATCCGTTTGCATAAAACTTTTCATCGATCAGATAGAAGCAACGGAATTGTCTCTGTGGAGACGGATGCAGATTGCTAGCAATCTCAAAGCAAATACCTTCTACAGTAGAAAACATATTTCGATTGAAAAAAAGTTTCATTTCAAACTGAAGAAACTAGTCCATTCCTATTGCATTCACGACTCGAAAAGTATCCAAAAAATATAGGCAAAATTTATTTTTCCTCACAAGGCTCAAAACTTAAACTCAGATCCTACGGCGACAGAAATTGACAAATACATAAACACGAGAGCATATATGAGCTCGTAACTTCTCAAGACGTGGACTTATTTCTCATTCTTGAAACTATAGTAGCTTGTAAATTCTTAATGGGTGAGCAGTCGAGTCATAGGGCAAATTTCAGTTATTATAGGTTTAACGTCTTATATATGAAAAAATTGATGTATTTTCTAAACAGAATTCTTACAATCCTTGTTTTCTGATGGTTGTGGTCAATGCAGACCTTAGAGCTCCATTCAGATGCTAGCTTGAGAAATTCGACGGTCTGTTGTTGATGAATTATGTTGCCGCTGAGAAAAGCTGGTTTCTTTTTCATTCTTTAGCGATTTTTCGCTAGCCGAGACAACGAACCGAAGCATGAGTAGCATTGCTGCTTTGGCTATAATTCAAACTCTATACGAACTATTTTCAGGATTGCAAATTATGCATGAGAGAATGAAAAAAAAAAGGTAAATCTTGAATGTAACGCAGTGTTAAAGACCATCTTTTAGTAAAACACAACTGATTTTTCTGTAAAACAATATTTCCTGACATTTAAGAGCGTTCAATTAGCACAAAATGATCAGAAAGAATAACATGTAGATGCCATCATCTAGGCATCATAAAAATTAAAAAAAAAAAGAAGGAAAGAAAATAACATCAAGTTTCATCATTCTTGCTGTCCCTGCGGTGATACCAAGCTCTCCATGTACCTCATTAAAAAAAAATTCAGCATCTCCATACTTAGTGCGGAGTTCCTGACAAGGTTATTTCGATATACGTACCTGTGGCAATGATATCTTCAGAGAGAGAGAATTGCAACTGCGTCGAGGGTCGTGCTTCTCTTCTTCCTTGTTATTCTTATTTCTTGCTCTTTCTCTTTCTCTTTTTTCTTCCATATTATTGTGTACGTAATATGTTTCTATAGATTTTCTATTCCCATTAGAGATAAAACTTGGTTCTAGTTATAGGATCAGTAGTCTCATTTTTTGAATAGGACTTATTTCTTACCTTAGATTCTAAACAAACTCGTAAGGGATAGTTGGCTCCAAGATGTATGGTTTCGAATTAGTTGGAACTTCACGTACAAGCGATTCAAGGGCATGCAACAAGCACAATTAGATTCAAATTAATTTAAATGGGCTATGTCCGTAGATTTTAGCCCGCAGACATCTCTGAGATAATTGTTCCATAAGTATTAATACAATCAACATGAAACTATTAATACAATCGGCATCACAAGTTTTTTTTTCTCTTTTTCCCTTCACATAATAACAGTAAGCGTTTCTTCCCTCTCTCCCTGATTAGAGCAGGCTCCTTTACAAGCTAAGTCCCCGTCCCCAGAAGCGTGAGGGCAATCGATTTCGCATACAATAAACCGCTCGCCACATTTGAACACGCAATCAAAATATGACGAGGGTCGACGAGGAGGATACGGGGGCGACGGCGACGGCGGAGCTCCAGTACCTGGTGACTGTGCACGTGCACAGGCCACGAGCACAAGCATGAACATTACCCTGCAGGTAATTTGTTGCCATCGTGAGGTGAGACTTTTTTTTTACGAAATCGCCGGGAGTAAACTTGAGATCCCGTTTCGATCACGCATCTCTGAGACCGGCTCCGGGCGCATGCATGATCCATTTGTCTCCCTACTACTTCACACATCAAATTCATGTGATGCTAAATCAAATAACATTTAAATCAAGCACCTGAATGCATGTCTTCACGATCAAAATCACTACTTAAAAGTACTAAAAAATAACAGCTCAGGGGAATGAGCTACTGAAGATGGAAAAAAAAAAACTACAGGAGAACATTTAAAGTAAGAATATAACAAACTATGATAAAACGATGACACGAAAGTACTAATTCTCCCTGCCTTTTCAATTTTCCAAACAAGATGCTTCGTAAACTATTTGAACGCTTCGTAAACTGTTTGAACTGTTTGTATTCTTTTGCTACATCAATTTTTGTATATTAAACAAATCCGTGCATGACACGGGCCTAAAACTAGTAACAAACTATGATAAAACGATGACACGAAAGTACTAATGATAAACTGAGCAAGTTGAAGTAAAAATATGAAAGATATATAATAAGTGAAGATCCTACCAATTCTAACTTTTATATCAAGCCATTGTGAATCATTTTCACCTCCCATCTTTTTGGAAGCTCTGGTAAATATTGATCTATACGCCTTCTGCTTAGCACCAAAACAATAATAACAACAACAACAAAAACCTTTAACCCAAAATTTAGTCCATGTTTATTTTTTGTCCCGGGGACTTGGAAGTATTGTATTCCGCGAGCTATAATACACTGGGACTAATCAATATTATTTTAAACCAATCCAATGTTTGTTTTCACGGGGACTAATCAATATTCAGTCTATATAAAAATAGTTCACACTAGTGAGTGTGTTTGTTTCTAGGGGGATTATGACAATTTAGACTAATGTCATCCGTAATGACCCTTTTGTCCTCAAGTCAACTAATATTGTATACGATGAACTACTACATATTTATCCGGACAGACCAGCCTGTATCCACGAACCACCCTAATACACTGCAACCCTGGAAAACCAACCGCTCCCGTCCCCTGCATCGCGTTATACCCATCCAGCACAGGTTGCACCTATACCCATCCAGCACAGGTTGCGCCGCCTTATCAGAAGAGGATAGGCAGCAGGATTGCGTTCTGCCATTTCTCGTGGAGGGCTTTCAGGTCTGGGATGACGATACCATTGATGGATTTTCTTTGTTGAAGACGATCTGATTTTTTACTTTTTCCAATAAATTTGGGGTTTCCCCAATTATCAGGGCTTAGCAGTTTACAACAATGGTGTAGGACCCTAAACTTCACACAACTGAGACAAGAACCGTCGTTTCATCCAAACATCTCTTCTTCAATTTCTGCAGCCACCTTCACATTCAATTTCTGCAGACACCTTCACATTCAAAATCCAGTGGATATCATCACAACTCTTTAAAAGAGATTCTACAATTTACAGCCTACAGATCAACTTTTGGCAGAGAACAAGAAGCTGAAGGAGGACCCTCCCCTAGAAAATCATCACACGGGCTAAGAACAAAATAAGGGTGCTATCGATGTAATTGTTTCCCCGACCCAGATTCCTGAGGCACTGGCCATTGATTTCTTCCTCGGTGTTCAGACATCCAATACAACCACAAACAACAGTTTGAACGTTGAATGTTCTGCAGATATATGGAGCTTTTTTGTCCGCGCATATAGAGATAAAGACTCATCTCCCAGGCCATTTCGTGCACAAACTGGAGACCATGGCCGTCGATGTGACTGTATTTCTCCTTCGCATGAGATCAAATACTAGTCTACGATCAGAAATATTTCCACAATTCAAAATACATTGTTGCCAAAGAGCTCCCACAACTACATCTTCTTCAGACATACCTTTGGCTACAGCACCGTGACGAGGAAAATCGATCGCAGCATAGATACGCTGGTAAAAAGCAAAACTTTAACATCTGAACCTCTTGCAGAAGCAGCAGAACAACTCACCCTGACAACTTCCCCACTAATCAAAATACAAGGCCGAGCACGTATTTCCGTTCACCATTTTTGCATTTAACGATGTTAAAAATATATCAGAATTTTCCCCCACCATCTTATCTATCCTGCAGACATCTTTAATGGTCATTGCATAGTACATTTCCATTTATAAATTCAAGAACAGATAAGGTAATTGTATACTTGATGCTTGACTTCCAAATAATAAAATGAAAAGGATAAATGAGCAACATGTCCACAAAAATCCAATAGGGCTTAATTTTTAACAAGCGATACAGCCTAATAATACCATCTGAAGAAATCACTGCAAATACACTGGTGACTTCATTTGTTTCACATCCATGATTAAATTTCTTCAACAAAGTCTAGGCTAGGACGACATAGGCAACATGCTCAAGAATAAAGAAAGTTAAGCTAAGAAGAAAAAAATTCAAATCATGGAAAAATTGAGGAGAAGATATATTAGAAAGATAAAGGTCGCTGAGTGTGAGTAAACAAAGAGCCACCACTATAAGTTCACAAACCAGATAACACCTTTAATTGAAGCCTAATTTTGTATACTAATTAAAAGAATTTTGTTGATTCTTCAGAGGGCCAAGAAATGAGGGAGAATGAGGAATTCAATAAAAGTTTCAAAAGAGAAGAAAGTACCCTCATCTCGGTTAGACATATTTTGCTTTATGGTGAAATGCAGATAGTTAATTAATAAAAAAATAAAAGAAGAAAATAAAATGAGGACCTTATAGGTTTCCCATATATTTAGTAAAATCAGATAAGGTTAAACAAGAGTGGGGAGTAAATATAACCAACACGAGAACACGATAAGGACATCATGGACACAAGTAACACAACATAGACAGGAGGCATGAGAAATTTGTAAAAGAAAAAAAGGACAGAGCAGTTTGGATATCATATCTCTGTATGTGGATAAGGCATAACAAGAACTACAAGTGCCAGCTATAGTATGATCAGGGCAAATCTATGCTGCACAAATAGGGGTGTGGGTGCAAACATGGACAAGGATAGTAAAAGGATATGGGGACACTGCTATATACACATTAAAATCAATTATCTATATGAGATCGATATTGTTTTTCATTCACATGTAATGAGGACTAAGATCCTTATACCATTGCTATGTTTCTTTTATTGATTAGATTATAAAATGAAAAGCGACTCATATTTGAATTAGATACCCAAACAACCCTTTAAAATCATACTTATGAACTAGGTATTGCTAAAACTAACCTGTCCCTAGTCCAATGAGTTGCATAGATTTGAGATGGACTGTACGCTATACATTTAAGAAGTGAATAACGAGTTTTTTGAACTAAAACATGTGTTATATAATTGAGTACACATCTGGATAAATGTATGTATATATCCAATAAGTGTCTGAGGAGTGCCGGACATGGACATGGATACAGGAGCCTAGATGAAGTGTCTGGATGACCTAGGGGCAAATCGATAATCACTTAATTAAATTCAAGTCAATTTAACATGGTTCATCGAGATCCTTGGCGATAGGTGATAAAGGGTTAGTCTCTTGAGAGGTCACCTCACACGCTAGAACTGGACAAACTAGCAACAAGAATGAAAAGTTTTAACAAGGACAAAATGTGTTAGCTAATACTATAGTAACCAAAGCTTGTGATATGCAATACAGGAATCAGTCATGAAAGAACTGAGAGCAAAAAAAACCCTGCAACTCAACCAAACATATATAACAAACATAATCATCAATATAAACGAATAACTCAATACTGCACATACTTGAGTTAACATTCTTTATGTGATTCTTTTCTCCAAGTATATTTGTTAGAGCTGGTCACAAATAAGCACAATGTAGGAACCAGTCGTAAAAGAACTGAGAGCAAAAAGAATCCTGCAATTTACTAGTCTTTACAATTATTCTGATCACTCATCAATCAAATATGAATGAACTTCCAATGTTCTTTGAACATTCCCCTTAAAAATTTGAACTGAAAGCATGATTAAATTCCGGAAGACCTAGGGTCTAAAGAATTTGCCAAGCCTGGTCAATTTCAGGATCTGAAAACTTCATTTTACAGTTGGATATCTTGTGTTTTATGTACTAAATTTACAAGATGGAAAAATTAAACCAATTTTTAACAGAACCAAAAAAACCTCACAACACAATGGTTCATAGACAGCCAAGCCAAGACATGATTTCAAAATATAAGCAATAAAAAAAGGTTGTGGTTGCAGTAAAATCTGTACAGTTTGTTAATAAAAGGTTCTGTAAATACAATTTCAAACATAATCAACCAAAAAGGCATATTTGTTCATTTCCACGGAATGGTAGCTGAATCACATCTTCAGAAATCCTATGATTCAGAAGACAGTGTTAAGAAACCCACTTCTGCAGATGTAATGTAATAAGCAGAACTTGCAGGTATGAGCGTATTGTGGGCTCACTAAGATAGAAAAAAAGATGGATGATATAGAACTTTGTTGAAATTTTAGTATGAAAGTTTCAAGCGAGGTTAGGAGTTCTGGAAAGATATCAAAGTAAAAAATAATGACATTTTCATATAGCAGCTTAGCAGGACAGTTAAAAGATTAGGTTAGCAAAGACACCATCAAGCTGGTTAACACGAAGCTTTAAACTTCATTAATTGTTATGGAAGAGCTTAAGAGGAACATGAGGAAAGTTACTGAAGGCAGTTCCATGTGACAGGTAAGTCGCAAGTTTTAAGGAATCCTTCAATAAACATAATGAGAGGACTTGTCTCCCCCCCGTTTTGGGGGAGGCCAAACTATCCACCTTATACTCCAGAAAGAGAACAAAAATAACTGTAAATAAATTTGGACAATAAAGTGTGTATTCAGTTGCTCGTTCATTAAAGTAAACATAAAAACATTTGAATGGATAAGAGAAAATAGTACCATGACCAAAACCAATGCATAAGGATTAGGGAAATAATAGAATTAAATCAACTAGAATCCCAGAATTAAATCTTGGAGGCAGACAAATAACAAAAAATAAAATTAAATAAAAGGATCAATGTTAGACTCAATATTATTTATATCAGGCCATACACAAAACCTTACAAGAATAAGAAGAAAAATGCCATGTTTCTAACACAGAAAATAAAGAACATCAAAAAGAAAGAAACCCCCCGAGGCAATAAAGAACCTATGTAAAATTCCTACAAGGTAGCATGAACCATGTTAAGGGAAACAAAATCCTGTTCACAATAACTGAACGGAAGCCGGCAGCAAAGGGTAGAAATAAAAATAAAATAAAAATAATTAACTGTGCAAATAAGCTTAAATACACCAAAAGATAGAAGGGAAGATAAGAAGAGATCAAATAATGTAATAAAATCAACTTAAGATAAAAGTATATCAAACTTGAACATCAAGGAGGAGTATATAACACTAACAAATGGGCAATGATATCAGATAGAAAGTAACCATAAAGCTCACACTAAACTTATATGTTCAAAAAAGGGGAAATCTACAAGTTCAAAAAAAGGTACAAGTTGACCCTAGATAGAACACATGACATGGATAACATTTAAAAAACAAGCGCTTAAGACTTCTTCACGAAGACGCCTTCCAAGATCGTGATTGAAACAGAAGAAAGCTTCCTCACAAACAATGTTGTAACATTCATGAAAGGTCTCTCATTTATCCTGCTTCATTACATCTGCAATAAGGGACTGAAGAATGTTAATCTACATTAGGGGGGAAAACCCTCTGAAGCCTTCAAAAGTTAATGGTGGATTAAAATCAAGATGAAATTAAAAGGGAAAATTGAACAGATGCCCAAAAGAGAAACACCAATATATGCAAAATCAAAATAACTCTTTAGAAATTCGAAGTATAAAAAAATAACAACCATAAAGGAATGATTAACTAAAGATGAAAATTATATACAACACCAGAAGAGAACATTTAAAATAAGATTATAACAAATTACTGTAAAATAACGAGAAAAGTATTAACAATAAAACAATAAAGTAAATTAAAGTAAATATGAAGAATAAAAAGTGTAGGTCCTATCAATTACAACTATGAATCTCGCCAAATAATGTATTTCAGTTTCAACTACTAGGAATCATGCCATTGTGAATCATGAGCCAACTATTCATCCAAAAAGAGTAAGTTCCTTCAGTACACACTACCTACATCTGAATACTTTCGTTTCTCCTTCCTAAGAAATTTCAGATCATCTTCATCTATTAGGCATTCTGCTTTCAACAAGCTGCTTTCCACAAGCCTATATTCCTACCTGCGAGGGGTCATACAATGATTACTCCCCTTTTAATTTTAATGTTTTTCATTTTAAAGAGATTAATCTTTCTTTATTCAGTACTAGTTCTACTGATTTAGCTCAATGCTTGGAATTGTCAAATCTCTCTGCATATAAAAGAGACGGTGTAATCCACAGATACATGCAATTAAAAACTACTTGTCATGCTCATAATAGTTTCTCTGATGTTGATGGCTGAGCAGCTGACAGTGAACCTCAGCCTCACGGTAGTTGTAAAAAAAATCCAATCGTTATATAGCATAAGCGTTTTTGCTAGTACATTCTACTACACATGTAAAAAGAAAGTAGTATAGCAAAGAATTCAAAAACTAACAATTTTGAACCCTTTTTTCACAAAAATCTTTGCCAGCTGTGCAACTCAAAAGATCTCCAAAAAATAATGAAGAAGAACTAGCCCTAGTGATCAAATAAATTTCCCATGTACAACTCATACATTCTTCAAATCTACAATTTTCTAAATAGTTACTTCTAAGAGGACTTCATATAGGTCATTCACGTAGATACTACAGCATTCTACATGAACAATAATCACATGTATCATGTGTATGCTAACTTCCAATTTTATCCAACCTAGAATCTCCTAATTTATCTCATCTAAAAATCGTTTTCCTCAAATTATAACACTTAAGAGTCTTCTTTCATATTCTAATTCCATCAGAACTTGTCCCAAAATGTTCCAACTTCTACAAAATGAACACCAAGGAAAGGAACAAAGTAATGACAGTTCAAATGTTGACCACTTTTAGTCTTCCATATGATGACTGAAATCCTAACCTGGTCAGTCATTTTGCACATAAAAGAATTCCAGATTTAGAAGATTGTGAAGTGAGTTATGTTAAAAAGGTGAGAGACTGATTCAACGTGCCAATTTATGACAAATGGGATCAAAATGTACAAACTTGGCCAAATCAAATCCTCCAGAGCCATATTGTTGACCCTTTCAAGATAATATCAGCAGTTGGAAAACAACAAATGTAAGAAACTTCTAGAGGATAATAAACATGGAAAACCTATTCTTGACTTTTAGGCATTTTCTTCCCTCATCAAATGTACTAATAGACAACACAGGCCAAGAGCACTTTGCAAACATATAATTTCAGATACTTGTAATCAAAATCTGCATACTAACAAAAAAAATTGCAATTATGTCCTAAATTTAGTCAGATTATTATTAAGATACTAGTTCAACTATTTTTATATGAAATGTTGAACATGTGATAATTAAAGTTTATTGTTTCAGACATTGCAGAAGCATAGTCAGGAAGAAATTGAATTGCATGTGGTTAGCATTGCAGAAGCACAGTCACGATCTACAACATTGAAAAACCCTAACCACACACAATTCAATTTCTTTCCTTAAGTTGCTTCTTCCATATCTAAATCTATAAACTTCAATTATTACAAGCTCAACATTTCTTATAAAAATGATTGAATTAGTATCTAACAAGAGTCTAACTAAATTTACATCTAATAATAGGGTACAGAATTTGTTGCAATATTCTGTATCAGTCTGCACATTTTGATTATTAAGATATGAAATTCCATTTTAAAATATTCTTTGTTACTTGTCTATTAACGAGTTTGATGCAGGGAGAAAAACATCTAAAAGTAAATAATATCGTTTTCATGTTTATTGTCCTCTAAAATTTTCTTGCATTTGTGAGCACCAATTCATGTTTTTTAAGTCCTTATATGTCGTTCAGTGTTTGGCCATTCGGAAGTTCAACAACTAAAATATTGACATGTCTCATTTTAAGTTATATCTATTATCTACACATTTCATATTATGCTATGTTTTGAATCCACCCCTTCCAGTTGCAGAACAAGAAGGGTTCAACTTGTTTGGCTTGTTAACTCAAACAAGTTCAAAACTAAAAACCCAAGATGTATATAGGACAAATTTTTGAAAACAACCCTTTTGAGAAATTAATGAGCAAAATCAACATTTTCCCATAAAAATGAGCAAAATTGACCCTTTTTAACTATCGGTTGATTTTGCTATCGGTGTTTTTTTTAACTATACGGGACTACTAGTAGTCCCGTGTAGTTAGGGCATGCTAATCCACGATTAGCTAAAGATGAAGAATGGAGGTAATAATTACATATTTACATGTTCATAATTTTCTAGTTAGCATGCTAATTAGAGAAGGAAGTTACAATTAGCAAACAAATATACTAAAATACTAATTATTATTTCTTTTTTATAGGTTAAACATGAAAAGATGGAAAATGGATTAGCAACTAGCAAAAAAGAGTCTATTACATGATGTAAATATGTAATATGTAAATTATTTAAAAAAAAACAGAAGAAATAGTCTAGTACATGACACAAGTGTCAAGCGCACACGAAGCGCACCCTGCCTCCGGTGCGGGGCGCAATTGTCCTAGCACGCAGCGCCCCGTGCCCGGGGCGCGCGCCTCGATAACAATGCATGGACGTTTCACAAAAAACGTGCATGTAGTGCATAGGAAATGCACGGGACTGCTAGTCCCGTGCATTTTGATAGACTAGTCTCATGCATTTCTTGGAAAACAAGCGGAGCCTCTGCTTAAAACTTAGAATTGCTAGTCCCGAGTTTTAAGCAGAGACTCGGCCCCTTTCCCATGAAATGGATGGGACGGGACTAGTAGTCCCGTCCATTTGGTTGACATGGCTAATCGTGGATTATCATGCCCTAACTACATGGGACTAGTAGTCCCGTGTAATTAAAAAAACACCAACAGCAAAATCGATCATTTTCATCTTTAATTGTGATTAAAAGGGTCGATTTTGCTCATTTTTATGGGAGAATGTCGATTTAGCTCATTAATTTCTCAAAATGGTTGCTTCAAAAATGTGTCCATGTATATATCCTCCCTAGGACCCTAAGTTATAACACATGAATTAAACAATATCAACTTTACCATACTTGATATGACCTAAATCCTCCTAAAGCCCCTCCAGAACCCTTCCCGGACTGCCCACCCTGCATAGACGAACCAGCCTGATACCCTTGCAATCCCTGCATTGATGAACCCGCCTGATACCCTTGCATTCCTTGCAAGCCTTGAAATCCGACTCCTCCCATCCCCTGCCCTCCAAGAACATGCTGCGCTGCTGCTGCCCCTCCACCATACGGGGCACCTTTTGGGCGCTCCTCACATAGCCGCTGCAGCATTCACAACGCAGGTTCAGCCGCCGCAGCAGCCAATAACTGATTCTGCAGCAGCAGAGGGTTCTGCCCAGTTGCAAGATTCTGTGCGGTCTGCTGCCATCGCCGCCATCACCGACTGCTGTGTCGGCACCGCAGCTGAGGGATCATCGCCGCGACAGCGGGTACCACCGGCGAGACAGCGGGTACCGCCATCTGCACCTTCCCCATCTCATTTTTCGGCGTCGCCAGCTGGCAGTACAGCTGGCGTCCCTCGAACAACTTGTACGGCTCCTCCAACGCCTTCTTTGCATCCTCCGGAGTCTTGTAAACAAACAATGCGTACCCTTTCGACTTCCCCGTGGCTCCGTCAAACCCAAGGGGCCCCGACTCCAACACCCCAAACCTCGCGAAAAACTCCCTCAACCTCTCCACGCTAACATCAAAAGGCACATTGCCAACATAAATCTTCCGACCACCGTCGGGCTTGGGCCCACCCACGGACGACAGCTGACAAGTCGCGACCTTGTTCCCTATTCGCTTCTGTGGCTCTTTCAAGGCCTTGATCGCAGCGGATCGGGTCTTGAATAGAACAAAGGCGTAACCTTTAGCCCGACCCGTGTTCTTGTCGACGACAACGCTGCAGTCTTCAATCGGACCAAAGGGGGAGAAAGCTGCGGTTAGGGTTTCCTTGGTGGCGTCCCATCCGAGGCCAAAGACGAAGAGCTGGCGGTGGGAGACGTCGGAGTCGGCGATGGATCGGATTCGGGTCCTGAGTTCGGGATCCGAAACGGCCGCGTCGAGGAGGAAGGAGATGAGTTGGGGTTTGGTGTAGGGTTCGAGGAGGGATTGGATGCAGGTTGGGGAGGAGGGGTTGGATTCGGGTTCGGATCCGAAGGTGAAGGGGTTTTCGTCTTGGATAGGGTTAGGTTTTTTGGGCTTCTTTTGGTTCTTTTGTTTAGGGTTTTGAGGCTGGGACTGGGGTTTCGAGTGGGGTTTGAGGCCGAGGTTGCGCTTCTTGTTGCTGCGGTTGTTGGCGCGCTTTTTGGCCCCTTTGCCCTTCGCCATTGATGCCTTGTTTGGGGTTAGGGTTAGGGTTAGGGTTTCGAGGAGGAGACGAGAAAGGGGATTCTTTTTCCAGGATGACGATATGATAAATAGGACGATAGCAAATTAGTCACCCGTCTCCGAATTGTTGCGGAAAACGAATTATCTACGAACTTTTGTATTAATTTGATAATTACTTTTCAGAAAATAATTAGCTTATTATTACCAAATGGATTCATATTCACATTCAAGTTGAAAACCTTTTCTTTCTAACCTTAACGAGATTTATACCAGTACGGGTAACAGTTTTTCATCCGTAATAATTGTTGGGAATTATGGGGCACACAAATATTGCACACACCAAGAGAGTACAAGCACCGACACAAACACAAAGAGCTTTTCTTGATTTGAAAAATACGCCTACCTCTATTTTCACTATACTTTACAAATTACAAACTAGTACAATCAATACAAGTGATACAACCGGTACAAGTTTTGCACGGACGAAACTTAAAAACCCTCACATATTTCACATCTCAAAGAATCCGAGAACACCGATCACTCGAGAGCTCTAAGAGGCTACCATCACATCACTAACAGAACCCGAGAACACCGATCACTAAAGAGTTCTAAAACGATCCTCCCTCTTCCTATATCTCAACGCTAACAACACACACCCTTTTTATACACTCATACACCCTTTTTATATACTCATTGATGTATCATTTTATCTCCCTAAGCATTAGCCCATCATTTTATCTCCCTATGCATTAGCCCTTCAAACTTCTGCCCTTGCGTCTTCAATGTTGTCTAGCCTTTCGATCTTGTAAATGCCATGCACTCTTTATAATGAGATTTGGAGAAAATCCAACAATAACCAACAAGTATATTAAACTATTTAGATTTATAACCTTTCGTAAAATTATTATTTACATTCTAAAACTATCTTCTTCTTTTTTTGGCCCTCTTCTTCTCGCTAATATACGCGTTTTCGTGTTCTCAAAAACAAAAAAGTATATGGTTTTTTGTACATTAAGCATACTACATTGCCTTTGGAACAACTTTCACCAGAACATCAAAAATTACTTGTTAAATAGATCAGTAGCTTTACAATGTCTGATGTATCCTGTAATAATTGACAAGAAAGGTCTCAACAACATACAACAATTTGGCCAATTAAAGCACTGAACAATCCTCTATGACCTCAAACTTTACACTTGAAAAGCTCTCCAATGTATATCATCACAGCTGTCTAAGAGATTCTACAAGTTTCTACCAAGAGATCAACTTGGCAAAGAACAAGAATCTTCAGAAGGCCTCTCCTCCCACTGTAAATCTCCACATGAGCCAAGAACAGTTGACAGAACAAAATCATCGACATAAAACCCTTCTTTTTGCATCCGATACATAAGCTGCAGAGCCTCTCTACAATGTCCATTCTTTGCATATCCAACAATCATCGCCTTCCAAGAAACCAAATTCCTCTCAGGCATCGTCGCAAAAACCTTTGATGCGTCCTTGACACATCCACACCTCATATACATGTCAATAAGTGCACTTCCAACATAAACATTTGACATAGAGCTAGTTTTATTCGCTGAACCATGAATCCATCGTCCATACCGAATCTCTTCTCCTTTTGCGCAAGCTTTCAAAGCAGAGGAGTAAGTGTAAGGAGTCGGCATTATGCCTTCCCATAACATTTCTTTCAAGAATCTAAGCGAATCAGATTTGTCTTCCAGGGTATTGTGACCCGAAATCATCGCAGTCCATGAGATCACATCTCTTTCAGGCATGGATTCGAGAACTCTAGCAGCATAGGAGAACTCTCCACACTTGCAATATAACCAAATAAGGGTGCTGTCAATAAAATTGTTGCTATTAACTAGTCTCTTTAGCATCTGGGCATGGATTTCTTTACCAAGGTTGAGAGATCTCATATAGCCACAAGCAGTTAGAATACTAACAATAGTTTGACTGTTTGCAGATATATGAAGTGTCTTCATCAATTGGAATAGAGATATTGCTTCTTCTCCTTGGCCATTTCGTGCGTAGCCAGAGATCATTGAACTCCATGTGACTGTATTTTTCTTTGGCATGAGATCAAAAACTAGTCTAGCATCAGAAATTTCTCCACATTTCACATACATTGTTACCAAAGAGCTCCCAATAACTACATCTTCTTCAAACAATCCTTTCACTATAGCACCATGAAGTTGCCTACCGAATCGCAATGCTTTCTCTTCACCACAAGCCTTCAAGACACTACACACTGTAATTTCATTCGGACGAAAGCCTTGATGTTGCATTCTTGAGAAAACCGACAGGGCTTCATCAGTATAGCCATGTTTTGCGTATGCAGTGATCATTGTAGTCCAAGTAACAACATCACGCTCCGGCATCCGATCAAACGCACAAGATGCACCGAGTAAATCACCACATTGTGCATAGAAATATATTAGGGCACTATCAACTATCAAGTTACTCCAATTCCCTTTGAGAATACAGGCATGAAGCTGACTCCCAAGTTCGAAATCCAACCTATTGCCACACGACTTCAACAAGCATACAAACGTCAAGCTGTTAGGTTGGACTGAACTTTCAATCAAACCTTCAAAAATTTCAACAACTCCGTCATCGAGACCATGGTTAAGGTACCCGTTAAGCATCGTAGTCCAAGAAACCACATTTTTCTCAGACATTTCATCGAACACCTTTCTCGCGTCGTCCAGGCTGGAAAAACTCAAGTACCAACTGATCAAATTGTTGCCCACATAAGTTTCGGAGCCCAGTAAAGCTCTTATGAAAACTGCATGCACGCACTTGACTTCTTTGAGACTTGCACATGATTTTAGATGTGAAGAGACTGCTTTAGGATCAAGATTATGAAACGGGATCGGACCGGATAAATTGGCATCTGGGTTTTGGGGGAAAGACTGGATTGTTGAGATGTTGTTCTCTGGTTTTGTGGTGGCTAAATGTTGAACAAGATTCGTGATGGTTGTTTGGATTCTCTTTCTGGGTTTTCCCTTTACAGTGGATTTTTTGGGGAAGGATTGAAAGCGAGGGGTTGTTAGGGTTACGGAGGAGGATGACAGCATCGGGGAGGGCTGAACTAGAGTCTGAGATTGTGACGGCGATCAGCGAAGCAACTGCAGATTGAAGAAAGAATTTATGGGTTGAAACTGAATAAAGATCTTTGGGGATGCAACAGTGAGAAGGGAGCTGATTAGATTTTGGAGATTTTTCGGCAGTCGAGGGGAGCGAGCTTTGCTTAGCTCAGCTGCATTTGTCATTTTCTGAGAGGTTGCAGATAAAGATTTTTCTCAAATTGTAGTCGGCCGTTTTTTCTCCTTCCGTGGTAATTTGATTTCACAGTCAACTAGTTCGAACAGAGCATATCTATTTTATTTTATATTTTAAAAAATTTATTAGCCGCCAAAATAATAAAATATGATTTATATAACAATATAAAATTTGAACAATTACGACTTTCTTTAAATAAATAAATTATACGATGAAACTGTGTGTAAAAAACTGTTATAATTAACTATTATAGTTTGGATAATTATTATAATTTATTAAAATAATTATAATGTATTAAATAATTTCTTCTCTTTTAAATATGATAATATTATACATTGTATAATTATAATACTATCAGTAACTATATTTTAATTTCATAAATAATTTATTACACGTCAGTAAACAATTTACTAATTTGTATAGTTATTAAATTATAGTGTAATTTATTAATTTAAAAAATACTATTAAAATTATTATACAATCAGTACAATTACGATTACGATAGATACAAATTATTTTTCATATTGTTATCATAATTTTAAAAGGCTAGTAAGATGAAAGATAACAGATAGTACTCCATAAGAGGTAAAACCTAAAATCATAAGGCATAAGCCTAATGAATTTTTATTATTTTTTATTTTTTTAGAATTTTTAAATATTATATGAAGATAAATTACGGTTAAATTTCAAATTTTAAATTTCTATTAAGCAACATAATTAAATAATAAAGTAATAGTTTGACCCAAAGGTTCTGAAAAAGTAACGAACTGCGTAATAATAATAAGAGTATGGGTCTACACCCCTTTTTTCAACACTAAAAAATATGCAGTTAACATAGCTTTTGCTTTCAGAGATATAATCACATACTCTCATTTGGTTGACAACAAGAACATGGTGTCAGATGATTAGTTCTTAATTTTTTTTTTTAATGTTTGTTCTTGATATTGCTTGTAGATATTCTCTTCATGCTATTATATATTATTATTATTATTTTAATTTGAAGAAGCAGATAATTAACACAGTCAGTAACAAGTAAAAATCTTTTCTCTTACAGAAGAAGACGGTCATAATCATTCATTCTCTTGTATATATATGTACAAAAATTGATGAACCCAGACGCCAAAACAAAACAAAACTGATGAAATTAATCAACCTCACATTTTTGGACTCCTAACTAACTAATTAATTAAGGGGAGAACACCCCATCAAAAGCAGCCAACGCGAGGGGGCTCTTCGGCTCAAAAACCTCGAGCTTCTCTCCAACAGCCTCCGTCAACGAAGAGACCCCCTCTCCGACTTTGCTCCCGATCGCAGAGATCGCCATCGACGCCGCCTCCGCAAACTCCCTCTTCACCAGCTCGTCCCCCCTCTCTCTCCTCACGAACTCCTCCAGCACCCACATCGCAATATCAGCCATCAGCGATCGTATACGTATAGCTGTATAGGTTTTTATACGTAGCTGTATAGGTTTCTATTTCTTTTACTCGGATCGATGGTTGAGAGTCCGGTGCTTGGGATCGAGTGGGCTATTTATGCTCGTGCTTTGCCGCTAGCTAGTTTAAATAGTACGTGGATGGGTTCGATGAGACCGAGGTCAAATCTGTGGGCTCGTTAAATATCTTCGTGTTAACTTTGTGCTGATGATGGTAGTAGGCTTCCTATGATCTGTGGGCTTATTAAATAACTATTAATTTTTTATTGCGTTCAACGTTCTGATTAATTGTCTCGGGGATGGCCCACGCGCAGGGCTCGCACCCACAGATATTCAATTGTACCCTAAGTTTGCATCTTACAAAGTTGGCTACTCTTTTTTTTTTTTAACTTTATTATTTAATATCCCTTCTTTGGAATTACGTTACGAGAAAGAAAATGTATGGAAATTTTGACAAAGAGTTTTGCTACAGTGACCTAAAATATGGGATTAACAGGGGAACATGTGAGGTGTCCCCTCCTATTGCACAATGAGCTGGCCATCATTAATGATGGTCAGCTCATTATGGGTGGCACTAGGGGCATACTCACAACCACAACCTTAACCACACACCTTCTCTCATTTGATACAGTGCACCGGGTCAGATTTTAAAATTTTAAAATCCCAAGTGAGATACGGTATACTGTAGCAAATGAGAGAGGGAGTGTGGTTGAGGTTGTGGTTGGGGGTGTGCCCCTATCATTTTCCTATCAGATTTTTAAAATTTTAAAATCCCCGCTCATTGACTCCGTTTGTAATTAGACTACTAATTAGTCGGGGTTGGCAACTCCGACTAATTAGTACCGTAATTAACTCAAAATGGGCCGATTTCTATAATTAAAAGTGGATAAAATGTTGTCTGTTTTAAAATATCAAAAATGTAGCCTGTGGGCCTTTGGATAAGAGAGTGCAGCATACTTTGGTTGGCTAGCGTATCGTGCAGCACTTTCCACATTTGCAATGGTGACCCATGATGCTGACTTATTAGAAGAGAGGTAAAATAATATGAATAATACCCCCTTAGGGACGCATGCATCTTCAAAGAGCAGAAGAGTCGGAACAAAATTTCACTCACTCAAGGGGGTCTTATCTGCAACAATAGAGCGTTGTGCGATGGAATCCCACTAAAATTTCAGTGCAACGCCAGCTGAAAACCAAATCATTTCTTAATTAAAAAAACAGATGACTTGCATCGCATACATAGATCACAGATGGGAACTCATCGTATCACAGGATATGACCTCTTATTCGCCAAAAATAATAATAGTAGTAATAATAACACTGAACCGATACAACTCGAAGCAAATTTATAGGAATTGATGTCGTCGTAAAAATAACCAACGTCTGCAAAATAAACAACACGCTGAGCCAAAACAACTCAAACAACCCAGGTATCAGCGTAGTGTTTTAGAGTTTTCCATGTATATGAAATACAAACACATCCTCTCAGAAAGGGAGGGGTTTATTGATGGATCAGATCTTCTGGAGTACGATGCACCAGTTGGATTTATCATAGAATTGATCCAAAATTGCAGCGTTATCTATACCGGTTACTAACCTACAAAACAACAAAGAAAGGGAAGCAAACATGAGACATTACCAGTTTGCCGAAACATGAGAAAAACATTAAGAACAGAAAAATGTTCGACGAACTACAAACGTCAGAAAGCAGCGCAGATTAAGTTGCAACTCAAAACCATATAGATTAGAAGACTGTGGTTTAACAACTAAACTACAAATTATGATAGCCTTCCAACATGAGTGGTCAGGCTTATAGGTAACGGTAGGTTAACTTATACATTCTGATTTACCATTTTTCCAAGGACATAAGACTTGATGATCTGAGTTTGATGGGTGGTGGAATTGAAACAACTAAACACCAGAGTATTATATTCAAGTACAGCACACATTTTAGCAGCGAAAACATAGAGATAAGGGACCTGATTGGAGAGGATCTGGATCCGTGTGTGCTATAATGTTTTTTTATCTACATCTGGATGAATTTGGTAACCAATGGGATTATGGGCCTAGACACCTCAAAAAGTGCAAATTACTGCGGTTTCATACTTGATAGGCTTACATAAATAGTAGCATCTCTGGAGTTAAGGTCTCCAGAAGACCAATAACTAAAAGAAGCAAGTTCGCAGCACAAAGAAAATTTTCGCATAGGAAAATGGATGAGAACATCATGGATCACGCACAAAAGCTAAAGAGAACTAACCTCTCTTAATAAGGCTAATTCATAAGGATATAAAAAGTGATAATAACTGCACTTTTTAAATATTAAAACTTCCAATCCATCCAGGAAATTGTGAACTCACTGGCAAAGATTTCACCTCTCCTCTCCTTTTTAATTATCATGGTGTGTTATTGCTACTGTTGAAGGAGTTGACTCATGGGCATCAGTTTATATAGTACTCAAGGATTCCTTAAAAGTTGACTTCTCATTGGCAAATCAACAGAAGAAAATAGAGCAAGTATAAAATAGAAAAGCCATAAAGCTAAATTACGCAGCATTTTTCAAGTAATTAAAATTCTAGAGCCAGAGACATACCTCTCAAGTTCACCTTCAGCAAAGACATGATAGTATCGGTTATAAACCATGGCTCCTTTTGTATCATCCTTCTTTGCTAGGCCATTCGCAAGGGCAGAAGCTGATGCACCACCAATTTCAGCACGATGATATGGTAAATGCCAAGGAACAAAGTACTCTTGGTTAGTTTTAGCCTTCCCCTCATCAGTCGCACCATTTTCTCTCACGCTAGATAAAGCTGAAGGAGTCTTCATGGGTTCATCTTTTACTTTACCATCAACAGCTAGTTGAATTTTTTCATCAGTTGATAAGTTAGTCTCTGGGATGCTTTGTAGAGTTACTGTTGAAGAATTACGAACTCGAGGACTGCTTGGACTTATCCAGCCTTCATTATACTTCTGAGAAAGAGGTGTCCATTTTGTGAGCAAAGAACGGTCTTCTTGTTCTACAGCCCACACCGTAATTAAAACAAGACCTCCCTTTTTGACAACTCGAACTAATTCTTCCACAGCTTTCCTTCTCCTACTTTCTGTGCTCAAATGATGCAGAACAGCAATAGAGATAGCAGCATCACCATAATTACTTCTATAAGGAAGATTAACAGCATCTGCAACCAAAACCTCATGCCCTCTTCTAGCACAAATATCAATCAGTGGAGGACTAATGTCACATCCTATGTAAAAACAATCTGAATTAAATCCCAAGTACTTCCCATTTCCACAACCAGCATCTAAGACAATAGAACCGGGGGTTACAGAGTTTAGAAATCCGGCAACTTTTGGCCATTTAGCAAATCGTGTTGCACTGAAATGGGGAGCAATGGCATCATAAACACGATGCACATATTTCTTTTCAATTTCTGGAGTAGCTTTAACACTTGTGGAAAGTTTGTCTTCATCAGAAGTTTTTGTATTGACAGTTTCAGACTTCCGAGTTAATTTTAGAGCAGAAAGGTTTGGAATTGAATGAAATCCTTGTTCAGTGCTGATGTACTTCACAGCTGACATGATGTTATAAGGTGGGGAACTCACTCTCATCAAAGCCCACGCTAAGCCTAATGTTCTCTATGGACAGATAATTACTTCTTAAACCTTCAGTCACTCCTTAAATATATTTCTCCTTAAAATTTAGTTTTTTTCCTGTTCACTGGTTGATTTGCATCGAACCCCTTTAATCATTCTTTAAGGAAATCTTTCATGTTTATTTAGAGTCCTCATATAACCACTTGCACACCCTAAACAGTTGGTATAAAGGCTTTGTTGTTGTAGTTGTTTTTTTGTTGTTGTTGTTGTCGTCGTTGCATGTAACCTCTTGTACTGATGTTACTTGAGCAGAGTTGAGCAGAAACAATATTCATAGCACTGATGGAATTCCAACAGATGGAATAATGTTCTGAAAAGCACTTCCCATGGTTGCACCTTCAAAAACTTGACACAGTAGCAAAGCAACTCATAAACAGCTTCTGTAAAAACTCGTGATTTGCCTACCTCTAAAGCACCGTGAAGGCATGCAATTTAAAATGCTATCATGTGAATAATTCTGCAAATAAAAATTGATATCAAACTCTTGAGAGAAATTTACATATGTTTTACACACAAAAAATGCATTAAGTATCAAAACAGCAGAAATGGTTATCAAAATATGTTAATATGTTAAGAATCTAACACCCTACTTAGCATCAAGAAAGTAGCCAGCTTAGACATGATACTGCATCAAAGGAAAGCATAGCTGAGCAAAAGTAAACATTAAAATTTTTTGCTAAAATACAGAATATCATCATCCAAATAATTCTGCAAACAGACACCAATATCAAACTTCATGCGATTTTTGTATGCCTTCCACACAAAAATTGACATCAAGAAGTGATAAAAACAGCAGAAAAATTGCTCTGTCCAAAGACGGCTTAAAAAAATTTAAAGAGTAGATTGAAATTCTAACATCTTATTTAGCATCAAAATTGCCATCTTGGTCATGCATTTGCATCAAAGAGAGCATGGTTGTGCGAAGGTAAAAAAGAAAAATTATTCGGCTTGCTTGAAATTCTTTAAAACCAATCAAGCTTGAGTCCAACTTATTTCTAAGCAATTTACAGATTTATTCCTTCAACCCTCATACATATCAACCCAAAAGATAGTTTCTTAATATTAGTAACTAATGCTAAATGAGATCTTATGTCAGCCTTGTTTATTTGTTTATATCCAATCTTCAATCCAACAAATAATATTCCTCAACAAAAAAGATATATCTTATTTCATGACAAATTTCTAAGGAATAGAGTTACAAAAACCTAACAAACAATTATATCCAATGACATGTTTTCTGGTGTACAAACTGAGCCTAGTTATGCTGAAAAATGATTGAGATTGGTCCTAATTTGCTCATGGTCACAAAACAAGAGATATAGTCATTCAGACAGTTAAAAAAAGGAACTTGTTTCACAATAAAAAAGGAACTTGTTTCACAATCAATAGTGTGGGTTTTGTTTAACTGGATCGAATAGACTCAAAAAAGGCAACCAGATTTAGGGCTTTTAAAAATTAAATCAATCATAGGTGAAAAGTAAAATTCCCAAAAAAAAAAAGGCTCAAACTTTACCAAATAATTCTGAAAAGAGTACAAAAAATGATCATCTGTTAAAAAAATACAGCAGGGGGGGGGGGGCATTTTTTTTTTTTTTGGGGACCATTTTTTTTTTTTTTGCTCTAAACTGTAAACTCAGACCTCATATCAAGATCGTATGTTCATTGGATTCATGCCAACAGAAATTTTCAGTTAAAAACCCAAAATAACTTTGATCGAAGGAATTTAAATTCGTCAAAGGTTCAAGAAATTAAATCAGAGTAAGGATAAAAAAGGCGTACCTTTGCAGATTAAAACAATCATAAAAATCAAAAACAGGTGGGGGGTAAAGCAAAATAAACTAAAATTTCTTATCCATTCCCCAAAAAGGCTCACACTTTACCAATTAAATTCGAAAAGATTCAACCTTGCTGCTCAAATCAAATGATCTGCAGCATGATTATCATACTATTGGATAATTGTCAGTACAAAATCAAAAGTTTAGACGGGGAGAAGACCAGATCTTTTTCCTCAGATGTTCAATGGATTCATACAAGCAGAAATTTCCACTGAAACCTCCAAAATAATTTTACGAAAGGACTCTAAATTCAACAAATATTCAAGAAATTTAATCAGAATACAAGGATTAAAAGGCGTACTTTTGGGAGCGATCGACGGAGATCGACGGAGACAAATATTACGGCTGGCGGACGAGGTGCCCGAGTCTTAAGGGTTTCAATCGTATTATATAGCCTGTATCCCCTTAATCGGGTCATACCCGCATCCGACCCGTTAAATAATTGGTCTGCCTACGTTGACCCGTTTGGTACCCGTATCTTTTTATGTAATGTGACATGCAGGTTTTTTTCTTCTTCCATCTTTCTTAAATCCAAAATGATAAATAAGATTTTGACTCGTTGTAGAATACAGGGTTATATAATAACAACCTGTAGTTTTTATGTGATACCTTAAGATTTAGCCTCATAGCGGATATTAATTTGAGTGATTGAATGATTTAAATGATGGGTCTTGAGAGCCAAGTGTAACATTGATTAGTCCATTTTAACAGCGGATCCAGCCAAACCATGTGTTGTACTCCGTGGGTCCTGTGACTTACATCGCGCCAGCGGACTCGCGGGCCCAGGACATGACATTCTACTACCATTTTTCTTGTTGAGGCTCGATAATTATTTATGTCATTTAATAACATCTACCGTCCTACACCTCCTTCACTCTGACAGAATATGAACCGTCTCAGAACGGCTAGTATACAAGCTAGTGAGATTTTTTCTGTCACGGACACTGCAAATCATTCCGGAGCCAAGCTCCGACCCAATTTTCAATAACATCTATACAAACCTTGACAAAATCAAAGTCATTAAGAGCATCTGCAGCAAGCTCCCACCACACCTCCTAAGGTTGAGCTGGCGGTGGGAGCTTGCTGGAGATGCTCCACCAAGCTCCCAAGGGAGCTCCTTGGGCTAGCGTGGTACAAAGCCTAGGGGCTTGTACCACGGAGCTCCCAAACGCTCCACAAATTAGCTCCCAAGCCATTTTTGGGAGCTCCCAAACCATTAAAAAAAATTCTTTTTACAAAAAAAACCCTTACCTTTGTACCCTTCGGAAATAGCCGTTTAAAATTTAGTCGTTGATGATTTTTCAAAATTAACATGAACAGTAAATTAGTCGTTTAAAAATTAGTCGTTGGGATTTAAAAAATTGTCATGAACAGTAAGAGGAATTCTATAAATTCTCAATTCACTACACAAATCATTCCACATAACTCTCTCATAAAAAAAACTCTATATTTTCCTATCAAATTACAAATCTCATGGAACCCTCCCAAAACTTTTATTCACAACTCCTTACCGGTGAAGGATCGGCCTTCGGACTGTCGTTCTACACAGACGTCGTAGAAGAAGGTCACCCCATCCATGAGTTCTCGCAATCAGCAACACAACCAGTGTATAGGATTATGTTGGTTGTCGATGAAAGTGCGCGCTCCCTTGAAGACCGTGTCCAACGGTAGGAATCAAATAAAAGAGGTTTAAATTATATCCGAAAGTAATGGGTAACAAACATAAAATAGAAGAGGGGTTTTTTGATATCGTTGGAGCTCCTAACTAGGAGCTCGTTAGATATCAACATTAGTTAGAAGGATGGTGTGTCATTGAAAATGGTGGGTCATGGTCTTAATAGGGCTTGACAGCTCTCCAACAAGGACTCCCAAGTCCCAACTAAGAGCTTGTTGGAGATGCTCTGAGAATTGTTATCACGTCCCGCTTCCCAAAATACCGGGAATCAGAACGTGAACAAGCCCGCGACGTATTAGATTGAGAAGAAATATACACTATCATTTTTTTTTCTTTTCTTCTCAACCTAATACGCTAAGCGTCTGGAAACAATACAATGCAAAGGCACATGTCCCCGATCACAGTAGCGAGAATATAATAAACAACACAGATAGAAAATATACATATCACAACTGAAATATCATCCGAGACACAAAGTTTGGGTCAAACATGCCCTTATTACAAAACAGTCCAACTAAAATAGGAAAATACATAGTCCGACAAATTAAGAAGGAAGTACTGCAAAATGACTAAGTCCATCGAAAGACTAAAGGGTAAGGTACTACATAAGTAATCTAGTGTTCATCAGTGATTACGTAAAAGAAAATGCTAAGCTTCTGTTTGTTCTTCTGTTCCACCTGGAAGACACTCCGGCTGGGCATACTCCTGCTCTAATGCATCATCATACTGGACCTGTCCGTCCTCTAAATCTGACGTACACCAGAGAAAACAGGTGTACGTCAGCGCACATAACGTACGTAGCCATTGTATAACAGGTCACTGGTCACATCTCACACAGAGTCAACGCTCCTGTCATCGGATAACTGGCTGTTCACAAATCCCCTACGCGCATCCAATACCGCGAAACGGTTCAGTGAGAGGACTACACGCAATCCGATTTCGGCCTGGTTCGAACTCAAGCAAAACTCGGGTGACGAAACGATTTCACTAACCAAGTGCGAAACGGTTCACTTGGCCCAACAAACTAACCCCAGTGCGAAACAGTTTACTGGTTCTAGTCTGGAAGATACATCAACAGTTCCGATCACATGAACATTAACTTCCCCATCCCAACTCTCTTGTTTTTCTTAGCTAACGTATACACAGGTTTCTAAGTCTTAAACAGAACATACCAGGCCATACTAGTCATGAATTTCTAACAGTTCTCAAGCATAACAAAGAGTAATAAACACAACTAATCATATACAGCAAGATCATAACATATCACATAATTAAAATTAAGAAACATAAATCATGAAAAATTCATAATAATCCCTTTTCTAAAATAAATCCTTAAAAATTATTTATAAATGTTCTAAAATAATTCCTTTTATAAAATAAATCCTTAAAAAAATATTTATAAATGTTCTAAATAATTTTTTTTATAAAACTTTCTTAAATTACTGAAATTATTCTAAATTGATACTTATTCTAAAATAAATTCTTTTAAATTATAATTATTCTAAAATAATTCTTTTGTCAAAAAAAATTCTATTGTTTTATTATAATTACTCTAAAATGATTTTTCACCAAAATAGTAATTATCTTAAATTGATTATTTATTATTTTGTCAAATAAATCCTTAAAAAATCATAAACTAATCTAAAATAATTTTATCTTATTTTATCTTTTTAGTATCTATTATCAAAATATTATTTTTAATATCATTCGTCAAATAAATCCGTGCAAGTCATCACATTATATGTATTACAATATGAATGGTCATACGTTATTGTCCACAGTCTATTTCGTTCTCAACAGTTCTATACGTTATAGTTCTCAGTCCAATATGTTCACGACAGTTCCGTATTTGTAACGAATACTTATTCGGGTAACGAGTTCGTATGCATAATAAATTTGTGATCAATCTAAAATTATACTGAGCAAGAATAGGGATCTTGCAAGCAGCTGATTAATTCAGAGCGACCTAAGAATTGTATGATAAGTCAAAAGAGTATCGGAATCTTGCCTCGGGTTATATCGTGGACCGATACGTCGTTACCGTGCGATGATACGGGTCCGCGGATGAGGCGGTGACGGCTACTTGTTGTTTTGTTATTTCGGTGACGCGTGCAGCAGCTCGAGGAGGCAACGACAGAGCCAGCAACGGGTGGGGGCGACGAACGGCGACCGGAGGAAGAGCTCGAGGCGTGTCGACGGCGGCGAAGGGTGTGCAGCGACGCGAGGGGTGGAGTTGGGTGCGTTGGGCCAGCAGCGGGCCTCGGGCTGCTAGAGTCGGCAGTTTGGCACGCGTGAGGGAGTTGACGGCAGCGGCTCCGCGACCGGGGTCTGAGGAGGCTGGTCGGAGCGGCTGTCCGATGACGACTGGGGCGCTGGCGGCGGCTAGAGGACTGAGGAGAGCCGGTGTGACTGGTCGAGGTTGGCGAGGTCAGAGGTTGGAGAGCGGGTGCGGTTCGTCGGAGATGAAGAGGGAGGTACGGGGAAGGTTTTCCGCTGCTGAGAGTTGGGTGGAGGAGGACAGGGTGGCGTCGGAGCTCTGTCGGAGTTGATGGCCGCGAGAGGAGGGGGTGCTGGCTGCGGTCTCGTGAGAGGCGGAGCTCGAGTGGATCTGGGGTTGAGCCGCTGGGTGATGCAGGTTGGGCCGAAAGACGGGGAGGAGAGCGGCGATCAGCGCGGAGCAAGGCGGCGAAGGGAGGCAGGAGCAGATGGGCATGCGCGACGAGGTCCGAGGAAGCGGGGTCCGGAGGGGTGAGGTCGAGCTCGAGAGAGAGAAAGAGAAAGAAGAGAGAGAAAGAGTGTGTACGAGAGAGAGAGAGGGGGCTGGGTTGGTTTAAATAGGGAAAAATAATAATAAAAAAATAAGATAAACTAATAAATGAGATGCGCGTGGAGCAGTCATTTTTGAAAAAATGCCGAGGGAGAGAACGGGGTTGTTGGGATTTGTCGCGGGAGCAAAATAATGTTGGGGTATTTTCAAATAGTTTCAGGTATTTAAACGAAAATAATTAAAATAAATAATTTCGGGTACTTAAAAATTAAACTAATTACATAATAATTATCTACAAATAAAAACGTACATGTTAAGCTAATACAACAGTTGATACGAAACTGTCAAAATATACCCATATTGTACAATTAAACGAAAATAATTAATAATAAAAATATATTTACTTACATTTAAAATCAAATAATTATGTGACAATTATCTACACGATAAAACGTACCAGTTATGCTAATACGACAGCTGATACGTAATAATACAATAATTTACACAAATAATACGTAATTAATAATTCAATATAATACAAGAATTAATACGTAATAGTAATAATAATACGACGTATTATTTAAAATAATACGTAATAGTATCAGTAACACAACGGATAAATCCCAGAATTTTTCATTGCACTAAATTAATTTATAAATATAAAAACAATTTAAATAAATATAAAACTTAGACTTTAAATCATAGAAAATTCTAGAAAATCGAGAAAATACAAATACTCTTTTAAAAATCATAATTAAATATTTTAAAATACCAAAAATTTATTTTAACTAGAATCAAAATTTTACGGTCATTACAATTGTTGAACTATGAACTTAAATTTTATTCAATCAAATTCTACGGTGTAACGTTTTATTAGCTTCCTGTACCAGAATCTTGGCCACCAAGAAAATTAGCACACAGTATCAGTCAAAAGACCGTTGCCTTGGCAGCCACTTAAACCCTTTTCACAACTACTATAAAAAAATGAAAGTAAACTTTACTCTAACCTTCCAAACTTAGCAAACATCCAAGTGTATATTAAGAACACATTAGTTTCCAATTACAGAGAGAGAGCATCCTAAATATTATCATGGCATATGTGGGCATGGACTTGGCTGAGATACATGTGCTGAAGAAGCAACACAAGCAGGAGATGATGAAGAAGAGAGAGGAGGGAGGCTGCAATATTACCGACAAAGAGCAGAAGAAGAAAAAGAAGAGATCCTTGTTGCATAATCTTTTTAGCATGAAAAAATGTCTCATGTGCAGGTCCTAAATTAAATTAGTATTTTTTTTTTGTGAGGTACAAGTATTTTGGTATTTTTCGAGACGTTAATTGAAAAGACTAGCGCATCTCCAAGCAAGCTCAGATTTCTGAGATCTACATTTACAAGGTCTTTTTTCCTTCGCCTTCTTCGATTTTTCCTTGATAACTTGGAGTTATACTCTTTGTTTTTGTAAACCATGACCAGGGTTTTGTCAAACTCCCAATCTTGTCTCTTAACATAACCCCTCTCTTAAATTGAGGGTCTTTTCTATCAAAAATATTTTAACTATTTGCCAATTACATGTGGGAGTTCTTGAAGAAAAATTTAATCTTCAGGGAGGTTTTGTGACCCAAATTAAGTTAAGGGGGCTTTTGTGGGATAAAAATGGCTCAGGGGGTTATGTGCAAACCCCTCAAAGATCATGGGTTTTGTGAATTTAACCCTAATTGATTTCTCATTTGTGCACTAAAAATATCTTCACAACATGAAATGACTACATATCTTCAAGTCACATCCTCAAAGCAAATACCTAACATGGATCTCACTGTCTCCAACATATCTGCCCAAAAATAAAAAAAAATCTCAAGAAATGATGCTAAATTGACTCACTATGTTGTCCCCTAGATCTAAACACAACCCTATATAAATTTCCTCATGCTCATTAGATAACAATGTATCTCACAAGTCCAAGTATATATCTTGCTCTAGCTCAATTTCTTTCTTTGGTGATAATTAATGGCATCCATTGGTGGCTTCTCATTGGACTCCTATGTAGCTAAGAAGCTTCACAAGGAAAATATGAGTAGAAATATTGGAGAAAAGATTAATGATGGGAAATTAATCTCTAAGGAGAAGGTTAGCGAGTTACTGGGGATGAAGACGAAGAAGATTCATGCAAATGGTTCAGAGACGACCAAAGCTAAAGTTGCAGTGGAGTGATGAATGTTAACTTCTTATTAGTCGATGTAATTTATTTTCACTTAATGAAACTTTTTTTTTACCTTAGTTTCTGTTAAGTTTGTATTGAAGAGAGCTTTCTATATTTGATGATCAGATTTACAGGATATATATACACAATTAGTAGCTCATATACACAATTAGTAGTAGGCACACTAGGAGGCGGCTGAAGCGACTAGGAGGCGGTTAGGAGGTGGCTGAGGGGGGCTAGGAGGCGGCTGAGGCGTCTATACGCATATAGGGTGGTTGATATTATCTAACACCCCCTTCAAACTCACGGTGGATCGAACACCGGGAGTTTGAACAAGAAATAGCGAAACACGGAAATAGTTTGAACCTTGGTAAATAAATCTGCCATTTGTTCCTTAGAGGGAATATATGAGAGTGTAATGTTTCCAGCAGCATGCTTCTGTCAAACCACATGACAATCCACCTCAATATGTTTGGTACGCTCATGAAATACCGGATTTATAGAAATAGAGATGACACTCTGATTATCACAGTAGAAAGTAATAGGAGAAGTAACAAAGACATCGAGATCTCGCAGAAGAGTGCAGAGCCATTTGAGCTCAACTATGATGTCTGCCAACGCCCTGTACTCGGACTCCATACTAGAACGAGAGACGACAGCTTGACGCTTACTACGCCGAGAAATGAAAGATGAACCCAAAAAAAATACAAAAGTCTGTAGTGGAACGTTGAGTGTCTGCATCATCAGCCCATCCAGCATCAGAATATGCATGAAGAGACAAAGAAG